TTTTTACGGCCAGAAAGTTCGTAAGCGTATGATTCGAGTATCTGTTTGCCCTTTTGTTTTCGTTTTATCGATATGGAGTTTTCTGTAAGGCGGCAGAACGCTTTGCCCCAATCTATAACAAATTAGCTCAAGTTTTCTACTGACACTCGTCCAAATGGGCCATGTTTTGTCGACCGTAAACTTGAAAAATGAACTCTCCATGGCAAACTCTTGGTGGCGCAGTGCATTGTGAATCGCCAAATTGTATCGTGAAAAATAATTTAATTCTTGATTTACCGTATCTCTAACGTCTTTAACTCTTACAATAAATCGGTAAGTTTCCCTATGTTTTGAACCTACATGTAGCTACTGTATTTATCCTAAAATCTTCTTTTTTTTTTTACCAAACTACAAGGTGTTAAGGCCAGTTCATGCAGGTACTTTACGCGAACGGAATTTCACGACATCAACACTTGAAATTTCATTGTGGCGTTCTCCATCAACAAATCGCATCCGTAACAAATTCGCTTTGCACTGAGATTCGTGTGAAGTATTAACCGACCTCTATGCTTTCTGATTGTGTTGTCTTCTTGTAAAGTGCTCTACAACAGAAAGGGTTTTCAAATTCTGATTGTAATTCCAATTAAAAGTGCACTATACCAAACTTAACGCCTACTTCAGTTGCAACACATTTGTGGGTGTCGAGGCATTTACTGCATCACTGCCTGTCTGTCTGTTGTGTGTGTGTATGTGTGGACACAGCAGTCATCATTTCTTGCAACAATAAACAATTAATCATCCCATGGGTTGCAAGCCAGGTATGCTCAATTAAATTTCAGCCCATCCACTCCAGGGCTGGTTGTTTTTTCACGGCCTCGGTAAAATAATTCTCCAACATTATTGATTGTTGCTGGATAGCAGGCATGCCAAGAAAATGCGCTGGGTAGTTTTTTGTTTGGAGGAACAAGTGGACTGTTCTTTTGCTAGCTAAGGCCAAAAAAAAAAGTCTCCGGTTTCTGGTATGCGCGCACGTCGCCGCAGCCATGCGCGTCGGCAAAATGAAAAAGTTTTTTTTTTCAATGAAAGATGATGTCTCAAAACCGCCAAACTCATTGGTTTGACTGGAATTCTGCTGCTGCACAATTTTAACGTGTTTTTAGATTGGGTTATGGTCGAGAATAAGCTTTATGTGGCCTCTCTGGACTCCCATATATTTGCACTAAGTTTAGTCGGGCACCATTTGCAGTCATCAGCCGACATTTGAAGCAAAAAAATCAGGTAAAAAAAAAAAAAAAGTCGCGTCGCCGCACCACTTTTTGGGCAAGCTCCATACCAGAAACTGGAGACTTTTTTGGGGGGGCCTAATAGGCCACTTACCATGTACAGTAACTTTGAAACAATTGTGACTTGCTATATTTTAATATTCTATGAAAATATCTGCAAACCCATTAATGGATTTAAAGTCGGGAAAATAAGAGATCTAAACTCTATACATATCAGTGAGACTTTTTTTCTATCTAGGATTCCAAGTTACCGGTATATCCAGAAGTGTTTGGAAAACCTATAAAAATGTCTCCAACCCCCCAAAAGCAAAAGCTTTTTGAAAACAAAGCTTGTTACTGTAGTCTAAGCCCCGTTGAACAGGCAGCCTGTGTATTGGTATGCTGGAATCATACAATACTAAAAAAAAGCCCAGATGATATCATATCGGGTCGTCAAATTGGTTCCTGAAATACCGGTCTTGACCTGCATCTGTGACCTCCTTCCTCACCTCATTTGCATAATGACAGCTGCACGTGGCGGGGAGTGATCTATTATTAGCATTAAAAAAAAAATCCCCCGATGGTAGAATTGCCACTCTATTGCTCACAGTAGTGTTTATGACTAACAGAGGAAAGGTCACCAGTTACCTGGTGTGTGTGCGCAGGTACCGACCACGCAGGCACGGGTACCGGTTGGTGTAGTTTTTAAGTAGTCCGTCAGCCAGCCAGTCAACCATCACTTAGTGTTTATGAGTCTGGTGCCCCGTAGGCCAACCTGACAGTGGCTTGGGAGCTGTTTCCAAAACCCTGATTTATTTGTACAAGAGCTACTCAAGTGTGTGTGGGCGAGGCAGACTCTTTCTAACTTTACCAACACATTGTTAATCGGTATCTCAAATTTTTTTTTTTTTTTAAAGGCAAGTTTATAGATAGGGACCAGGATATTTGTGTACGCACATGGACATTTTCAAATGTGTTATGGTTGGGTTGTATTGGGGCACTCGCTCACGCTCTTTTCCGGTCCCCGGGGCAAGAAAAACAACCCAGCCTTTTTGGTGGACATGGAGAGGGGCGAGTGGAGTGGTCACTCAATTTTTGACACCCAGGGTGGGCGATTGCTATTGAAGGGGGGTTAAAAAAGAAGAGGTGAGAATGACCAAATCATATAATTGGGAACGTTTTTGAGATGGCCTCAGGGTGGTAGACAGACTAATGTTTGGCAGTTTCGTCGAGTTGGGAAAATAAATGTACAAAAACACAGATCTTAGTGTAATATTTACTTTTTTGTATTTCCTTCTTAAAGGAAGACATGGAGAAATTTTCTAAGTCCAGTGAGTGAGCTACTGTTTATACATGCATACACACTTACTTGTTCTGTAACTATGGGGACTACACACGTGTTGTCCCATGGTACTATATGGGGACCGAAGACGCTATGGGGACAGCAGAAAGTCCCCATAACTCGGTCCTATCGGTATTTGCCTGACAATAAAAAACTTCCCCATAACGCGGTGACGGTCCGCCCACATGTGTGCATGTACCGGTATGTATATTTTACTTAAATACACTCATCATAAAAACACACAGGCCAAATTACAATGTATGCCGCAAAGTTACAGCTCCCCCATGCACCCCATAGAAACAAGTATATGCAGTTGGTTCAGTTGGCATATTTGTAACGTTCGCTTATTGCTGTATACCATTGAAACATGTGTTCGTTGCATGATGTTTTTGACGGAGTGGTTGGAACCCAGATCCTGAATGTCACATATGTATGTTGTCTACGTATGTGGTCGAACATCATGCAAGTTGTGGAGAAGCGATTATCTGTACACGTACGTCGTGAGATCCCGTAACCCAATTAATGTGTTGACAGTGTATACCGTACGTCATAGAAACTGGGATATATAATGTCATGCACTTATTCAACATACTTCTACGATAACCAGTCTGTAATTTTTGAGTAGCGTATCCCAGGAAAGAAGGGTTGCATGCCACATTCCAGATTGGACATTATTTACAAACTCTCTGTAGCAACAAGTCAATTTTAAAGTTGGTTTGATTGTCAGCTCACAGTGAAAAATCCATACAACATTTAAAGGCCTGAGAATAAAGTGTGTAAGTCTGTTTTGGCTTTTTATTGGAACCCCTCCGAACTGTATTGTCTGGCAGACTGGCACAAAGCTACCCGGTACATGTGTAATTCAGCCTCCTATGCAAACACAAATTCTGTGCAACGTTGTCCTTTCAGTCAAAATCAATCAAGTGACTGTTTTCAACAGTTAAGAGCTCCCAGCCTACCGGTACGGTATATACATAAGCAGGATTGACTGGCTGTGACTGTTTATGTAACTTGATGCAGCTGTGCATTGATAGAAGGTGATTGATAACCCAGTGCCTACTTCTTGCCTGCTTTTGTCTGTTGACTGAATTTGACTAGTCACAGTGCTTGCTTGAAATATGATCTGACTGTTGGTGACTAGCCTGTGTAAAAGGCATGGCAGGGGAAGAGGATTGATGTTTTGACTGTCTGGGACTGTTCAAACGAAGGGTTAAGGTTTTTTTGTAACAGTTCGTGAAGTAATTCATTTAGCAGGATTAGTTTCGTAACTCATTAACCTGATTTGTGTCTAGCATAAAGCATTAACAGACGCAGATGTTTGTACCATATGAATCATAATTGTAAAGAACTTTTTCCAGTTTCTGTATACATAAGAGTACACCATGCTCCCCTTAGCACTTAATATCAACCGTTATACATTTGTACATGTATCGAAAAGTGTTCAAAATGTTCTCTATCAAAACAAAGTTTTCAAACTGTACAAATAAATTATTAGTGCTCAGACAGATTTAATTTCAATCTCCATGGGATCCATACTGCGATTTCTTCTTCAACCTTAAGGATAACTTTGACTGGTCACTTCGGGAAGTAAAGGAATACGTTCCTTCATTGCATCTGATTCCAATCCAGAGTTTCTCAAAGTTGGGGGAATTTCAAATCAAAGCCATTTTTTTATATTTGGAATTCCTGTGTTCGTATGTGATTTGCACGGACAACAGTTGGACCATTTAGTTCACTTCATGGGTATCTCCCCCAGCCCACCAGGGAAAACAACCAGCAACCAAAAGTCCCAACATGACTGACATCTCCTCTGAAGCGAACCAGTTGGCCAATGGCTTATCTCAACCAACCATCTCTCATAATAATATCCCAGCATCACTATGTTGGTACCCAGGAGTGAGCGTGTGTCATGCCCTGTGCCTTGTGGTCCTTTGATGATAAGATACAGAAGGGGGTGTGGCCTGGCACCAAGTCCTGGGTTAAGCGGCACACGCCAGGCTTGGAGCCTTAAGAACCCCCCTGCTGGGCAGCCACACTCCTGCTGTCACTCCTCATTTGCATCCTTGAAGAGTGGGCCCAGTTCTCCCCCTCTAACCCTACTACCCAAGCCCTCTGATTGGTCCACACCACAGGCACCCAGCAACTTTTGTTTTTTTCTTCTCAAGCCTGCTGCCTGTCGTATGGCTGGCTTGTGCCGTGCGTTTGCCACACACTCCCTACTCCATCACCAACTGATTAATGACAATACAAGACACCACTGGTCCTGCAAGCACGCTAGCAGGAGGCGGAGGCTCCATCGGAATGTCAACTTTTTTTTTCTCCCCGTCCTCATCTTCCACTAGACGGACCAATAAGTGGTCTACATCAGGAGTCCTACTTACATAAACATTAGCCTACCAGTCAGCTCAGCTGTTGCCTTTGAGATGTGGTCACTAACATAAAGCAGTAGCCTTAGTGGTGGTGTGTGCTGCCTTCTGCCAGCCTGTGTCTTCTGTTCTGTAGTAGCTGTCCCCCCTAGATGCATCTTTTTTTGAGGTGTTACATCTAGGCTTTCCTGTCCACTTTTGACTGTATTATTTTCCAGCCATTTTTTGGTGTCGTTCCTTAGACACTTGTCTTATTGGATATCAATTTTTTTTTTCTAATTTTTTTTTTTGACTTTTGTTTCTGCATCGTCTACTCGTAATCATTCTATAACGTCATTCCACAAGACATCATCAAGGAGGTGGGCATTTAAATGTTCCGGGCGGCTCTTCCAGAAACCGGTACCCAGCACCCGACGGTACCCAGCACCTACTCCATTGAGGACGCTACAAACCTCCGAGAACGGCTCACCCGGTGGCAGCCAGTCTTCACCGTACATTCCAATTTTTCCACTTTCCATTTCTCCGAATCCTTGCCGGGACACCGTTTCTCTGTCGCCACTCGCCACATCGTCGACTCCATGCCCGCGGGGAACCAGTGAAAACGGAGCGATCCTGCATGAGTTTGTTAGCGCGAGCCTTCGCCGTTGTGTTTTCTCCTGGTATGGTTACCGGCCCGGCAGCTTACATGACTAAGAAACAGAAACAGAAACGGAGCAAGAAGAGCAGGAAGAGTGCTGTTGCTAAGGAACTGGAAAAGCAAGACAAAAAATGTAAGTCCTCGTTCTTCTTCCACCCACTCCACCCAAAATGTTTTCTATTTTTGAAAAAACGCATTTTGGTCATCGTTCTATTTGTAAGATTTTGTTTTTAAAACTTGAGGAAAAAGTTCCACTGGCATTGTACATGTACATCTTGTTTTTCTTTTTAGATTTTTTATATTAATTCATTTGTAAAAGCCATAACATATGTATTCATGAGTCATTATGATAGTTCCTTGTGTTTTTCAAAAGTTTTGAGTTGGTAGTTTTTTCAAGGTCTGTCATTAAAAAGAAGTTGTAGGTGTTAAAAATCACCCCAATCCACGAGTAACTTAAGTCTTAAGTAGAGACCATATCACCTACATGAGTACTATTCCCCATGTTATCTGAAATTATTTTCCGATAACATCAGACTTATAAATATTTGGCATAGATGGCCAGATGCCCTCTTCCCCATCTGAGAATTATTCCCAAATTACCAATACAGCAAATCGGACTGTGATGTTCTCCTCCAAAAATGAGGCCAACCCATCAAAATCCCCCCCCCCCCCTAAAAAAAAAAATCAGAAATCTAATTTTCCCTGTAAAAATATGCAGCGGGCATTCCAATGCAGTTATAGGTTATCCTGCATTGTGGTTGAGGCACACGCGCCAACAGGATCAAATTCATACCTGATCCCCTCGAGCAATTGCAGTAGGATTTAAAGGGAAAACCAGAGTTTTAAACTGGGGGATCATTGGCAAAACCATTTTTAACCTTGATAAATCTATCTTAAAGTCTTGGTTTTATGAATAAGAAGTTTATCTTTGACTTGAAAAGTTCTGTCAGGCAGGGGGAACAATCTGTTTTTGTTTAACCACGAAATAAAAGTCTCTTCTTATTTTGGGTCGGGAATGATTGATAATGCCTCTTGTTTGTGTCAATATGTTGTGCTGCAACTGTTGCTCCCCATCTTCGAAATGGTGAGGACGGTTGCTAAGATACCACCACATCTTCAATAAGACATTCTCCAAAGGAAATTGCATTCTTATCGTCACATCTCTCAATCACTCGAGATGTAATTAATGGCCAGATAGCCGGAGGAAAGGAGAACGAAGGGGGAAAAAACAGTAGACCTTTTCAGTCAGTGAAGGTGAGAGTTGATTTTAGATGAGATGGTTTCAGGGACCAATCGGGAGGCGAGGTGTTCCACCGTAGGAGGAGGTGTCCCACCGTAGGAGGAGGTGTCATCCCCGCATCTGATTACGCACACCTGTTGGCCTTCGGGAGGATGGAATGCCACCGCGAAGAAGTGGAAGATGATGATGATGATGAGGAGCATGTGGATGATGAGGAGAGACGGAACATGTGTCGACCCGACCTGATTACGCCGCCCTGGGGATTGCAGACGTTGCATCTTTCTCTGTTATTATCTCAGCAGGAGGAGCATCATCCGATGATGGCAGGCATCCTCCTCCCATCAAACGTCTTCTGTGTCCTTTCCCTAACATCACCCTCTTTCTTGTCATCACCCTTTTCCTCATCATTGGATCTTACAAACTTGATTTCTCCATCGTACGCAAAAAGATGCATCAACGAGAGGAGAAATACACTTACAGAAATTTGCTAAGCATCACAAGGCAGGCTACCAGTTGATATTTTCATACCTTGTGTACATGTATGATTTGTGAATGGTATCCAGTGAATAAGCAAGTCTGCTTTATTAGCACAAGAAAGGTACCAGTGATATTCATGTGTATAGGATTATATACGAGTTTGGCTGGTGACCCTCAGAACCTGCTAAGCACATTTCTACCGTAATTGGCCCCCAGATGGGACACCGCACAGCCTTGCATCCAACTCCTCAAGCATCTGACCTTCTTCTCTCAAAATGGATTAATGAGGAGATTTCTCCGTCTCGATGAGAGATTAATCATCATGCTTGTGGGAGGTTGCGAGTGTCTTTCTCCTCTCCGATCTGTCAGGCTCATCTCCATCGACCTTTCACCTCTGACCGCATCATTGAATGTTAAAGACCAGATCGTCATCTCGTCTAGAGATACATCATCACGTTTTGGGATGCTGTCATTTTTTTTTGTCCCTGTGCTGCCTTCATCCATCTTTCCCACGGTCTCTTGCCTCCAACCTTCCCCCGCATCGCCAGATCGTAACGACCGCATTTTGTCTCTGTTCCCACCCTCGAGAGATTTATCATCCATGTGTTCGGATGCTGCCACCGTATTTTTTACCTTCTCCTCCTAGATCCTCCACGTATCCATCTCTACCACCAGCGACTCCTGTCCGACCTACTCAATGACAGGATTTTTTTTCTGTCTAGGCCAGCCCCGTCTCATCCAGGGAGATTTATCGCAGCATTTGCGGGATGTCATCTTTCTTGTCTCCTCTCCAAGATCATCATTTAATTGAGACATCCATGTTATCATCCTTGACTGCCGGAGTGAACTCCAAACCTTTAGGACAAGTCCAGCTGGATTATTCATATTGGAAATACACATTTTGCCTTGCACCCGAGTTTCCTTGGAACATCTTCAAAATGAGGTTCTTGTTTTCATTTAAACCCACAAAGACATTATTCGCAAATTGAAATTGATTATTCAGCTGTTCCATCGACCTTTGTTTTTGTTTATTAGTAGCCTTTGAAATTATGAGCAATGCAAGTGTTGGTATTTTGAGAAGGTTCACAGTTTTATTAAGATATTAAGGTCAACAGGTTTTTTTTTTCATTAAAGTATAACATTTCATGTCAGTGTGTAACTTCTCAAACAAAAGCTAAAAAGACTGGAGTCATATTAATCCTTACTTTCACACATTAAATTTCACACATAAACTGTTCAATGCATGATGTTCAGCCATTGCGAAACCCCAGGTGGCCAACAAAATGCTTCCACGTGAACAATGGGTTTCACTTTCTCTTTGGGAGACAATAATGCACACTTGACTCATACTCAGATGATGTTCTGGCTAACCCCCTGGGGGAACCATTAGTGCATTGGATGATCATTGATCAGATAGACTTGCCAGCTCAGCAAGACCCCCGTGTAAGAGTCTATGTAATACAAATATAAGCAGTTTTTTAAGAGATTAAAACTAGTCGGTCATGTTGTCCAGAAAGTCATTAGGTCAACTACTTGCTCACACATCATTGAAGTGTATCTTTACCAAAAGATGGTAGATATTTCAATTTTTCTGAGTACATGCACATGTAGGCCTACGGTATGTACCGGTACATGACATGATTTGAGGGAGTAGGTGTGGTTTCTTGATTTTTTTTTTAACAAAGAGATGTTTCTGAAGAGGTTTCATTTTAAATTACTTTTTTGCGAATATTGTCAATAAATTTTGTCAACAGGTTTACCATAGCTGTTGCTGGACATTTTAAACTGTACTTTGGAAATTCTACTTGATAAAAGTTCATTTTAGAAAAAAAATAGATTCTTTCTTCAATTAGGAATCCGTAAACAAATGGAACTTTTCCTTAGATTCCTCATTTTCTTGCTTGTTTTCTTAAGTTCCCTCCATGGTTCTCCATATGGTCGTGACTCCCGCTTGCTTTGGATAAACTATCTGCCGATAAGGAGGGACTGGTGTTCTTAAAAAATATTGAAAATGGCCAAGACGCAAGCTTTTACCAGATCACATCGTGCACCTCTCAAACCACTCCATGCCTACCCCCACGGGTTTGGAGTGGATTATGGATTTATATGGACAGTTTGCGCCAATTCTGACAAGTTTATACACACAGTGAGCCCCTAAGTGCTGATAAGGAAAGGCCATTCCTGGTAGATTTGTAGTGAAACGCCAAGATTTCTTGGTGTTCAAGGAAGGCAGGATTAACAAGACACACAGGTTGTAACCATTTGGCGGAAAGATTTTATGTTGATTGTTTGGGAGAAAGGCGTTATTGAATTGACCTTTCTGGTGAGTTTTATTGCAAGATAGATGTAAAGAGATGCTGTGGTTGAGATGGTTGATACATGTAAGTTCAAAACTGAATCACCAGCAAAGATTCAATGTATTGTTTTCGATTCTTTTCTCCACACGTATGTATTTGAAGAAGCAACTTTAGGCAATCAGCCTTCACACTTTATGGTACCACATTGTCTACAAATGTATGCAATCTTTCCGGTAGGTGATATCTAGTACATATTTCTTCACATCCTTTGACTTACTAACAATTTCTATAATCACAATGAAAACAAATTCACAATCCCCTTGTAAAAGTTGCATAATGAGTATGCGAGAATAAAGAGGTGACATTTTTACCTTGGAGTGGTATGTGCCGGTTATCAACCGGTGCCCCGTTATCACCGGTGCCCCTAGGTCATCTTTCATTTTTATCATAAAACAACAGCGTATAGCGAGGGCTAATTTATCCTGTTGGGAATCTGCATTAATATTGCTGCTTAGCAGAATGACAGGTTACCAGTTAAAAAGCTGTGTGATGTGAACTGCTTGCAACTGGTTACCAGCTGTTAAAATCGTGGCACTGATATGCTAATCAATTATATTCTGCTCAGCATTTCCATGGAAACTTGATCGAGTCCACATTTCTGTTCAGCTTCTATGTAAGTCTAGGAAGGCTAGATTTCTTTAGTTTCTTTTTTTTTAATCTAAAAGAATCAGCTACCAATAAAAAGATGTTATTCCACGATGGAAGTATTTCACTTGAAACTGAACAAGAAAAGTATTTTTTTTTCCCAGAAATTTTTTTTTCCAGAAATGATTACATTAATTCAGGCACTTTCAGTGCACCATTCATGTTGGCGTACCATAAATTTTTCCTGAACTTGCCAACAATCACTTCAATCTCAACCCTACCCTGACTCTACCCACGTGCCCAAACAAACAAATCTCCAATCACCAACCATTCCACCCCCCCCCCCCTTCCAAACTGAAAAACTCATTCCGCACCTCAGCATGTTCTGACCTGGCCCCTCCTAGTAATGTCATGTGACACGTGCCCGACACGTGTCATTATAGAGTGGGTGGTGGGCGCAGTAGGGTCGAGTTA